TCTATGTCAAATTTAATAGCATGAGTCATTCTTACAGTGTACTTGGTAGTGAATAACAAATCTTGTAAAGAAAAAAAAATCAGAATGAGAATGATCCAATTAATTTTCCTAATCTTCCGATGGTTCACTTCTTATGGTCATGTCACAGCTGGTCAGTAATGATTAACACTAGTTTTACAGCAGTGCTTAATATTCAGAGAAAATATTAACCTTTAGACCATTTTAGCACCACCTCTCAAGATTTGAACAGCAACAGCAGAACGCACCTGTTTTGATATTCAGAGGAATTGGTTCAACTCTTCCTGCCCCTGCAAGAAACACCAATGTTACAATTTTTCTTTATGCTTTCTAAATGGACATTTACTGTGCTCAACTAACATGTTAATAACATTACAATTATCAATAGGGAAAAGACAAAAGCACCCAGTTGTGGTCTGAGCCCACGCGTAACACATGGTGTTTATATTTCCTCCAAAAACAGAGTCAGAATGACTTGCCTTCTTTCCCCAGGCCTTGGCCTGCCTTGTAGCCCATCTTTTGCAGCAGTGCAAAACCTTTGTTTTCATTGCCGATGGAGCTGTGCAGTGCAGCCTCTCGGCTCTCCTTTTCTTGCTCCTTGTAGGTCTTCTGTCGGTTCTTCAGGTTTTTCTCCTTATGCAGCTCTTCTTTCTTTAATGCTTCCTTCACCCGTTTCAACATAGGTACACCTGGTCTCACTTCCTTTCTGCCAGCACGAAAGGGAAGACAAAGGCAAAGAGGATATTAACTATTATCATAGAATTAAATAGTGCTCTGTGTGTGTGTGTGCGAGCCCACAGAAACAGAGAGGGGTTTCAGTACAAGGATTAAAAGTAGCTAAAAGTTATTCTCCACTTCTTTTCGACACTTGCCCACTGAAAGCAAAACGACGTATGTTTAGCTCTTCGATTGCGTCACTTTAAATGATAAAGATGACCTAACAATGATGCACATATACATGACTGCTACGTCACATTAAATGTCACTGGATTGCTAGCTAACTAATTCATGCGGAAACATTACCAAGGCACTACATTCCCGTTATTTTCGAGATAGAAAACATTGGCTTGATAGCAAGCAACTGAAGGAGAGTCAAGTGAGTATATCACATCTTACATCTGTTCCAGGAACGCGTCGGACATGTAGTCATCTTCATCATCGGCCATATCGATTACTGAATGACAGAGTTAATTAGCACGCTTGTAAAACACTCTTAGCAACAGACAAATTAGTCCAAAGGCTCTTGCTTGCCCCTTAATTCTTAAAATACGAGAGTAGCTGGCCCATTTGGTCCTTCACCTCTCAAATCGTAGTTGTACGCGTTACTACAATCCAACGTTCCGTAATTTACAGTTTTGATTTATTTGTTTTTTGATTTATTGTTGCTTTTTTATAAAACAACATTGAAAAGATACATAGCTGTTTAAATTGAATTATTAGGATACTTTGATGACATAAAAGGTACTTCATAAACTTTTCTCATTCATGTAGCCTCTCACGTCGCGGGATGTTTCTGGTCGGAATAATTTCATTGTCACTTGTGCTTGACCTAGCTGACGAAAGTGGTAGCAGCCAGCTAGCTGACATCGAGTGCTGGACAAACAGGGTAGGCTAAGCGCAATTTGGCGTTGTAATTGTGTTAACAGCCTTAATATATACCATTATCAAGCTTGTGTGCTGTTTTACAATACGCTTTATTTAAAACATTCTTTCCAAGTTGTTTAAAAAGGAGAGAATCGAGTTTAAGATGCTAGCTTGCTAACATTAGCAAGCAAGCTAGCAAAGAGTTGATTCAGACGCCGAGCAGGCTGCGCTAGCTAAGCAAATGAGCTTTCTGTTGTCATGTTATTGAATGATGCTAGGTAGCACTATTTGACACTCGTTTAAAATCTAGTTGTGTAACAGACCAGCTAATGTTTATAGCTGGACGTGTGGCATGTATAACTACTTAACTATTGCTGTGAATACTGCGGAGTATTTGTTGTAATGCTGGTTATACAGAACGTTAGCTAGCCCGTTCCATTAAATTAAGCCGAAAAGGTGAAACAAGCCACCTTTTCTCGGTAGCTAAGATAGCCAGTTAGATAGTAGCAGGAACAGGTAGTAGCTGGTAGATTATAATCAATTGTGTGAAAGGTAGCTAGCAACGACGATTAGCTAGCGAGTCTATGTATGTGCCCTGTACTTTCCCAATCCCAGACAGTGTTATTGGTCACTGTAGGAACTTCGCACCCACACACAAGCGTTCACTTCCCGATTGCTGTTAATTGCTATCTACACTATCTTGTCTAGTTAGCTAGCTTTCAACTCATTTTTGTACGTTAAATTTTGGAAGTGAAAGGGTTCGTGACAAGCATTCGTATTTTTACGATTCAGGGAGGTGTTTTCATGTTGTAATAAGATATTTCATCATCATTTGACGCTTGTGATGTAGCGAACATGTTGGATTTTCAGAAGACCCTAACTCATTTATTATCGTTTGTGTCTACACTGACATCGACGTCTAGCTATATTCTAGCTGTTGTCGCTAGCTGTATTTTACAAGAGTGAGGTAACTGTTTAATTCCATTGTACTAACACACTGGCTAGTGGACTATGTGGTGTCGACTGTAAATTATGTAGCATAACAGGTTTGCAATGGCACGAACGAACTGCCCACGACAATAGTCTGTGGTAACCCATGACTCCTAACTGAATTAAATGGAAAGGTTGGACAGTAAGATGCAGGATATAATAATACTATGAACACAAATGGTACACCTTAAAGGAGCGAATTTGTAATGGATGGCTCAGAGCCCTTCTATGCTTCTTCTTAGAATTCAGCAAACATTTGCCAAAGCAACTCTACTCGACTCTTTCCAATTCTTTTATTTAATATTCAGCAACACCAAATAGCAATGCATCTGTTTTGTAATTCTAAGAAAAGTCAACTCAACTGTCAGTGCTCTTTTCTCACATTTAAAAGGGTTTTTGTGTTGTGTTTGTGATTTAAAGGTAAAGCTATTTGACTGGGTGTTCTGCAGAGGAACCCTACTTTCTCGGTTGTTGCTGCTTGCGGTGTCTTCCAATGGAGCTGGCTCACAGTTTGCTGCTCAACGAAGATGCCCTTGCTCAGATCACTGAGGCCAAGAGGCCTGTCTTCATCTTTGAATGGCTCCGCTTCTTGGATAAAGTTCTCGTTGCAGCAAATAAGGTAAGTTAAGTAGCCCTTATTGGGTCACTTAGCCAATGTCCTGAATCAAGCAGTATAACATCAGTTGCATTGACTGTTGCACTGCTATGACTAAAATTGAGCTAAAATAATAAAAACAGCTATCATTGGGATCTCTTTCACAATAATATTAGTGTGTCAGTGATAAAATACCCATGATGCTCACATGAATGTCGTGTTTCAATGATAAAATAACCTCTTAATTTGATTAATGATACAGTGTGCTGAATGGCACAGTTGTGTTGTTTGACTTCTAGAAAACAATAGGTTGTTAGCATTCATTGTTATCATTGTAGTTGTCGTGACCCCGAGTTTAACTAACCAAAAACCATAACACCTCTGAATTAACTCATCACGGAAACCACACAGTAATGTTTAGCACAGTTGTAAAAAGATGATGGTGGCTCTCAGTCATTCCTCTCAGAAGTGGACTTACAAAGGCAGACTTCCTTTGTATTGGTGGGGGTATGTGAATGGGACTTAACCAGTGAAGCTCTCCTCTAGAACTAAAGCCAGCTGTTTTACACATGCTGACAGCCTATTTAATGCCTGTGTGAGCTTGCATGATGGACTACAGAATGATTACTACTAATGTAACTAGCTTAAGTTATTTAAAGTGGCTAATTGCAACATCCTCCAGCTGGAGGGTGGGGTGGAGGGGGTGAATGCAGTTGTCTGATGGGTGTGTCTGTATGGGGGCAGGTGGATGTAAAAGAGAAGCAGAAGAAGCTGGTGGAGCAGCTCACAGGTCTCATCAGTAGCGCCCCGGGGCCCCCCACCCGCAAACTGCTGGCCAAAAACCTGGCAACCCTCTACAGCATCGGGGACACCTTCACTGTCTTCCAGACCCTGGACAAGTGCAATGACATCATAAAGAGCAAGGATGACACTCCTGCCTACCTGCCCACCAAACTGTGAGCTGTTGCTTTTTTCTGTATTGGATTATTTTCTGTGTTGGAAAATGCAAGCTACTCTCCTCACCTGAGGACTGTTGCAACTACATGGCAATAGCTGACACTAGCCCACTTTGCATTATCAGGAGCTAGGCCTTGTGGCCTGCTAATTTTCTGGTGTTTTTCAGTGCACAGGTATTGCACATGTGAAGCAGAAAGCCATTTGTATGCCCCTGTCCTGTAAGGGAACAGTGGGGCTAAGGACATGGATGTGTTACTACTAATAGAGGGAATATTTTTGGTTAAAAAATTCATTAGGATCTCTTGAAGTCTAGATGCGGCTTTTACATTGTCTCCTGAGAATGTCCAGTGTGTTTTCTTTAATTTCATTGTTTAGACTGTCATTCAAAGAGCTCCCATATGAGAAAGTCATTGAGAAATGTTTCTCCACCCCATGAAAGATTAAATGCTCAGATAATACCTGCACAGTGTGCAAGGAGTATGTTAAATGTTCCCACCTTTTTTTACCCTGCACTTATACCTTTGTGCACTTTAGCCTTTAACAAAATGTGCAGTCTTAAACCTGTCTGCCTCTGCGTAGTCATTTTCACCCTTTTCCAGCAACCAAACACAGACAAGAGACAATGCTCTCTTCCCCCTAGTCAGCTGGGCAACTCCCCCCCCATGCATTCTGGTGTCTAAGCTCCATGCTTCATAGAGAGGGAAACTATTCGCATGAACCCAAAAAAAATGGGACGCCAATTGGTTTGTATCAGTGTTCCTTAAAAATTTATGCCAATGTGACCTATTTTGATGAGTACTAATGTACTGACCTACAAACTTCTAAATGAATTAATGACTGTCAGAGATAGAGGGGCGGCAGTGTAGCATAGTGGTAGTGACTACGGCTCGTAACCGAAAGGTTGCTGGTTCATTCCCAGCTGGGGCACTGCTGCTGTACCCTTGGGCAAGGTACTTAACCCACAACTGCCTCCATAAATATCCAGCTGTATAAATGGATAATATGTAAAATTATAACCTATGTAAGTCACTCTGGATAAGAACGTCTGCTAAATGACAATGATGTAATGTAATGAGGAGGGAAAAAGGCAGGGGCTTTCATAAATCTTGAATTTTCTTAATCTGTCAACATGGCTCATTGTCATGGATATAGTAAATTCATAACAGACATGTGATTGTAAAGTTAACATTGCTATTGCCTGTCGTGTACTGTTACTCACTAGGCACTGGCTTGCCCAACAGGTACCTGATCCTGTAACGCTTTAAAGATGTAGAAATGCAGTGGTTTGTGCTCACCTGCAGCACTTTTTTCACAGTGCTGCGGTGGCATGTGTCGGGGCCTTCTATGAGAAAATGGGCCGAATGCTGGGCAGCTCCTTCCCTGAAACCATCAACAACCTCCTGAAGGCATTAAAAAGCGCAGAGGTACCATCACAGCACAGTCTGCTATGTTTGCGTGCACGTTTACTGTGGAGTGGTTAAGATAGTGAGGGCTTTGTCTCTCTAGTTCCATTCTGGGTGTAAGACCATTTCAGAATGTGAGTCCCTTCGGGAAAATGGAAAAGAGATGGTTTTATATGGGGGCTCTTCAGTTGTGATGACAGGTTCTTCTTCCTTCTCCTCCTCTTCCTTTTTTGTGTGACCCCAGTCCCAGGGTCGTGGGGAGATCCTGCTCAGCCTTCAGAAGGTGCTGAGTGGCCTCGGGGGGGCAGCAGCCTCCTGTCATCGGGACATCTACAAGAACGCCAGATCCTTACTGACTGACAGGTCCATGGCCGTCAGGTGCGCAGTTGCCAAGGTGAGTCTATAAGCGCGTGCGTTTCGTTTTCAGTGATGTCATACCTTTTTCAGAGGTCAGGGGCAATGTGTAGGTGGAGGCAATATCAAACTGCACCAAGGAGTAGTTGTCTGACGTATTAAAATGAAAAATCTAACTGATAATACATTTAAATTATTTTAAGATTAAACCATATTTGGATATAACTGATGTTTTGGTTTGTTTTAGAGTTTTTTTTTTTGTTTACTGAAAATTTGTCACTATCCTTGAAAATCTCCAGAAGAACCATAAATTGTAGTGGGCTGTAAAGGGTAAAACACAGGCCCATCAAATACAAGTCATGTTTTGTTGAAGAAACACAGGCTGCACTCTGGACTACTGAACACAGCGACACTTTTCCCCTAATAGTGCTTGCTGGAGCTGCAGAACGAGGCTGTGTTCATGTGGACCACAGAGCTGGAGAACGTGGCCACCCTGTGCTTCAAGGCCCTGGAAGGATCCAACTACGGGGTTCGAGTGGCTGTGTCCAAGCTGCTGGGGACAGTGATGGCCACCGCTTTGATGCCCAAGCAAGCTGCAGGTGAGAGGAATGACATGTTGATCGGCTGGTTGTGATTATCTGTATGAATATGTATGTGCTTAGGCCCATCACTCCTTAGGGACAATGGCACTGATTGGTTATCAATTTCAGAGCTGTTTAGTACAGTCTTCCATTCTGAGCACCGTGAGGTCTGGAAGTCCATGTAGAAAGTTACAGTGAGCACATCTCCTCTGGTGCAATGTTACAGTACTCTGTGTTCCCTGGTGCAGTGATGCGTCAGAATGTGAAGAAGGCCACGCTGGAAGAGGTGCTGGAGCTGATGGCCACAGGCTTCCTGCGGGGCGGGTCTGGCTTCCTGAAGAGCGGGGGCGAGATGCTGAAGGGCGGCGGCTCTGTCAGCAGGGAGGTGCGGGTGGGCGTCACACAGGTCAGTGGAGCTGCGTATCTCTACATAGAACCTAAATGGCTGGAACTTAAATGGCTTTGCTTTTGTTTGCCAAGGCATTGGACTCAGTTGATTATATGAAGATAGAATTATTTATTTTTATGTACCATTTATGATCTTAAGTTTATAAAATTTCTTAGTATATGCAGGGATATGGACTAAAAGATAGCAGAGCTGGGAGTATTCATTTTCTGAGGTCGATAAGTCGTATCTGTTCCCTCAAGAAAAGATGACCTTTGTGACATCATAATGATGACGTCATAATAATAATGATGTAATCGTTTCTCTACGCACCCAGGCTTACGTTGTGTTCGTGACCACACTGGGCGGGCAGTGGCTGGAGCGCAACTTCGCCACCTTCCTGTCCCATGTGCTGGACCTGGTGTCGCACCCGCGGGCCACGCAGACGCACGTGGAGGCGGTGTACTCGCGCCGCTGCGTCTCCTTCATGCTGCGTGCCACTCTGGGCGGCCTGCTCGGGGAGAAGGCCCAGATCGCCGCCGGCAAGGAGATCTGCCAGGCCATCGCCAAGCAGATGAGGGCTGTTGGTAAGGAGGTGGTTGATGGGGGGGAAATATCCAGGTTCAGAGCATTACAGAGTAAGTACTTGTCCTTATTTATTTTTTTTTCCTCATTTGTTTTGTTTAGGTTGAAGCTGTTTTGCTTTTATTCAGCCGCTTTTGCTTTGCTTGCTCACGCGTCGCCACCTCGCTAACACACTTAATAATTGCCTTGACCAGCCTTGTTTGTTTGCCGTGTTTAACTTTGCATTTGTGTGCTGTCACCTTTTCTCAGTTTTCTCACTTCGGTGGTGCTGAAAGAATGGCTTATTGGAAATTATCAGAGCAAAGTCTCTTAGTGAGGCTGTCCAGTTTTATCCACTAACAAAAAAGCAGGAAGGTTTGTTAAACTGGATGTTCTCTGTACATGCAGAGTAATGAATCGTAGCTTGCATGTTGTGAACATAGCTACCCGTGCTTAAATGTTATTAGTATTTGGATAATCTATAACCATAGCTGTCTAGTTCAACAGACATAGAATTTTGACTTTTAGTACCACTGAATATCCCATGATTCTGTTTTATGGTTCTAGTTTTGTTTTTTTGTACATTTCCATCAAAATGCAAGGCTTTACAGTACATGACTAACACACAGTTAACACCTACTGTGGACAGGGTACCATGAGCTGTGACTGTGTACCAGAATCTGATATTTGATATCTCATATTTGTCAGCTCATATCTATACAGCCTATCATTGATTTGCTTAATATTTGTGTAATAAAGACCCCTAAAATTGTATGTGGCGCAATGTACAAGCAGGACCATTTATTCACATTAACTGAACTTTACATCATATGTGCGTCATACGTTATGAATTTGTGCCTGCAAAGTTTACACTGCTTGTGGGTATAGTATTTGATTTTTGGAATTGTCATGTTGTCTGTCAATGAAACTTGAGAATGAGAATGAGTATAGAAAAATGTCACCTACCTCTGTTGATGTCTGAGCACCTAACAGGTTCATAAACATTTACAGTGGGATCTGTTAGGTCCCCATTGAGTTATAGCAGTGCAGTCCATAGGTTTTGTTATCTGTCAAAACAGTAATGTGTGAAAAATGTTATTTAGGATGAAATTGCAACTGCATTTCACTCAACTCCATACGTTGCCACTCCCTGTTTTCTTTCAGGTTAAATGGCTGAATTAACAATATACTACACAAAGCATTTTATTCCAGTTGGCTTTAGATCCATTAACCACAGACTGGCCTTCTCTCTGTTTGCCTGTATTGTTCATCCATTTTGTATGTGCAAGCAGAAAAGCTATGGCTGTTGACTAAACATAACGCAATAGAAGCATTTTTTTTTTCTTTCATTTTATTATGTATTGCTCCAGGTCTTCCCCTTTTTTCTATACACATATTCAGAGCCTCTCAGAATAGCATTCATAGATTTTATCTATTTCTGAGCATATTTCCATTTTTGTTTGGCCCATTCATATCAAAAATCCATTCCATGGCTGATTTCTTCACAAACTGCTTTCACCCATGTAGGTGTGACAGGGTTTTTTTTGTTTTTTTTTCCCCAAACGTCCAATTCATTTTCTTTTTTTTTTTTTTTTAACTTTACTACTCTTACTCTGTGATTGGCTTTGAAACCTATACTGAAAACATTTTGAAGGTGGTCTCTATAGACTATCTCTCTTCTTCTCTCTCTCTCTCTCTCTCTCTCTCTCTCTCTCTTAAAATTACATCTTGGAAATAAAATAAATGCAATCGCTTTCTGTGACCTGCTCACTTGACTCTTTCTAGTTGTTACAGCAGGGCTCTGAAGATTTAAATATGTTAATTCCAGCATGCACCTACAGGTGACAGCATACAGCAGGCAGAATGTTCATATCCTTTAAACTGGCTTGGACACATGTCAGGTTCCTGCTGCTCTATTTCATAGTCAAGTTACAAAAGGAGCTGCAGATAAACCAGGGACCTATTGAGCTGCTTGTACATCACTCCTGGTCAAAAGAGGAGCAGTGATCATTAATGTTTTAAACCTGTAATACTCAAACAGTATCAATGTACTGTGAACTTTAGTTGAGCTCATCTGACATGGCAGACAGATGTAGTCATGCACGCTCTTTTAAACAGCTACCTCAACTCCACACAGAGCAGGGAACTCTTCTGTCTCTAACTGGTGGCTCCTTCTGCATTGCTCTATTTGCATCAGGATACAGCCATTTTTTTAGCATAGCTTTACTACCTTCTTGATAACCTTCAGAGCCCGGTCTGTAAGCCAGCGCTGTGTGCCAGTCACCCATCTGCAGAAGCCGCTGCTGAGGTCTGCACCCTCTGTCAGCTGCTGGTTCTACTGCACGGGTCACTGACACATGCATATAGCAAGGCCAGCATTCAGTTGGGGGATTAACCAAGGAACTTCTCTCAGACAAAAAATGCCCAGTTTGATGAGTTAAAGAAGGTAGATCACATTGTTATGGAATTATGATTTTGATTCTAATTCTGTAGCGGGAGTGATGTCTTTCCTGGTTAAACCCCCTTTACTGTTAATTGCAAATGTTCATTCATGAAACATTGTAGATATAGATATTTACTAGTGTACTTGTGTATTTAATAGATAATAGCATAATCACAGTAGTTCTGTTCATACCATGTAGATAC